ATGCCGGTTTTGGCATAGGATTTGAAGCTGGTGTTCTCGGCGAAGAAGTATTCCTTGAATGTGATTAGGTCATTGAAGGAACCCTCACCATAGCCCTTGAAGTTATCGCTGCTGGGATTAGTAGAGTTTCCGTAATTTGTGAAATCGGCGGTTCCTTCGTTGCCACCCTTTTCATATGAGCGAAGAAATTGTCTCCAACGTTTGATTGATCACGATAGCTGTTGAATTTATCGAATCCGACGTTGGTTCCATCGCCGTACGACCGGAAATTGTTCTCCGGCAAATTACCGTTCTCTCCATACGAACTGAAGCTATTGTTTCCTCCATTCCCTTCCTCGCCGTACGACTGGAAATTGTTCTGCGGCACATTCCCGCTCTCTGCATACGAACTAAAGGTATCGTTTACCGCATTCCCTTCCTCGCCGTAATGTGTAAACGTGCTTCCGATCACATTGCTGTTATTCGCATAGGAACTGAAATCAGATGTTCCGCCATTGCCGTTCTTCCCGTAGCTATTGAACGACTGGTTGCCGGCGTTTGTAGTAACGGAATACTGTGAAAAAAGTCCTTCGCGGCCGGCGCTATCTGTGGCGTAATTAGTAAATTTAAGGTCGGGTACATTGGAGGATTCATCGTAGGCGGTGAAATCGTCGGTTCCGAAGGCTGTGTTTGTGCCATAAGAGGTGAAATTTGTGGTGACGACATTGCCATTGGGAGCATAGAAGGAGAACTTGTCATCGTGGCCGGCGGAGTCACGACCGTAGCGGCGAAAGGTGTCGAGGGGTGCGTTGAGGTTATCAGAGTAGTTTTTAAAGGAGGAGAGGCCGTCAGAGGAGCCAGTACCGTAGTTGGTGAAGTTGCTGTTCTGGTAGATGCCGAAGCTGGAGTCGCGGGGGTGGGAGGAGAGGGAAGGGGTGAGGTCTGTGGGGCAGAGTAGACCTGCGGCGGAGCAGAAGGAGGTGAGATGGGAGGAAATAAGTGAAGGATCGGAGGCGGCGAGGTTGAAGAATGTGGTGGCATCGGAGGCTGAAAGAGGGGTGAGTTTGGAGAGTAGGAACGAAGGGTGAGGAAGATTGTTGGGGATTTTGCGGTTCCAATAACGGATTAAGGCTGCTTTTTCGGTGAATGGGTTTGGGGATGGGGAAGTCAAAGCGGGGGATGAAATGAGGAGGAAGAAGAAGAAGAAGAAGAGTAGGAGGAAGGGAGCGGCCATGGAAGGAAGGGGAAATGATTGCTGTGTTGGTGTGTGAGGAGAGGCGATGAATTGGCTATATATCCATATAACATATTATTGATAAGAAACAGGGAAAGTTTAATGCTGTCTCACATAATAGACCGTTTATAATGGAAATGGACTAAATCCTCGCTAAATTCTGTTTTTATTTTAATTTAAATTTAATATCCAATTGAGTTCTCATTATTATACCTCACCCAATTTTTATTCTTTTAATTTAGATAATACGATTTATAATGTACTACTCATTATTTCACATAAATAAATAAATTGTAAAATAATATTTCACGCTCAACAATTATTCCAAAAAAAAAAAAATAGAATGATAATTTTTAAATATGCTATAAATAAGCTCTTATTTTCTCTTTTATCATGTGCCAAAATTTACTAAGCAATAAATTATGTTTCATATATACATTAAAAGAACATTGTCATTGTCGATCCTAAACCCGGATGTGAAATGTATAGGGTTACGTTAGTTAGTCGACAAACAACGTATAATATTTTTAACAAAAAATATTCAAATATTGATTAAAAGTCATCCGGAGCTCTTATTTCAATAAATTTATTGACAGACTCGATGAGAATGATCCAATGATATAAAAACTAGTATAATCTGAATCAGATCAAAGCACGGATCAAATCGTTAGATCACCCTTGGAGGATTTCTGGAGACATTTGAAACGTCAAATGGATGTAGAATTTAGTGAGTTTATACTCGAATCGAGTGTCTCGACAAGACCAATCTAACGAGCCCAAGATTACTCAATTCTGACTTCCTTAAAGCACTCAAATGTTCATCAAACGCTATTTGATCGATGGAAGCTACCTGGATCGTCTAATTAAAATGGTTCATGTTCCTGCATTAATTGCACCCAAAGCACTATAAATAGAGCCTCACCCCTCACATGAGGTGGGAGGCTTAAGAGAGAACTTGAGGCTATGAGAAGGAGTTTATGTCCAACATCATCCCCGTCATCGCAGACCGTCGTCGACCACCGTAGACCGTCGTCGGCCACCACCGACCACTGCTGACCGTCATCAACTGTCGTCGACCGCCGCTAACCATACGCTGTCGGTTGACCTTGTATTTTAGAAAATCTAGTAACTCTTTTCCGTATGTGGGACAAAGAGATTCTGTAATCAACTTATAGTGAATTTTTATAACTGGGCCAGACCCCGTGATTTTTTTCATTTCGGGTTTTCCACATAAAAACTTCTGGTGTCATCACATGTTGATTCTCTTTCATCTGAGTGTGTGTTGAATCCTCATGTAATGCTAAGAAGATAATTCATTACTCTACCGCCGCGGATTTTCTAGCAAGCATTAATTTGGCACTGTTTGTGAGAAAGTTTCAATCCCACAACTAAAG